CAGGGTGCAGGGCAGCATGGTTACGGTCAATGAGCCCAGGTGGTACTGAATACCAAGTGCAGAGCCTGAAGGAAGGGAAGTCTCAACAAATGCTCATGGAAGGAGCCACAAAGGACTTGCAGAATGTGAGTCTTATGAGGCTGAACATGAGTTCACAGTCCCCAGAACACTGCTGAATCCCTATGGGCCACAGCAGAACCTTGGGGCTGGCTGGGAGAGCCATCTTTTCTGCAGCGCTGAGGATAGTCCCCACGAGCTATCCTGCTCTAGTTGGGCTACACACATGGAAGGGGCACCAGTTGCCCAGATCACCAAAGGCCTCCAGAGGACAAACTTGGTGAATGCTGCTACCAGAGTTCGCCTCCTTGAGGAGCTGACCCTGCAGCTGTGGGGAGGGGAGTGTCCTGGGAGAGCTGGGAGGGAAGGAGCTGCCTTCATCTGGCACCAAAGCTGGAGGGCTCAGAACACCCTACCACGACAGCCATGCCACCCCTTGGAGTGGTAAGTATCTGCACTCACTCTCATGGCAGGTTCCAGCCATCTGGGATCCTGGCAACTGGGGACTCTGATATTGTTAGACAACCAGAGGAGAACCCTGTGTCTCTTCCCTTGCAGGCTGTTTAGAACATGCAGGGGGAAGGGCAGTGGGAGAAAAGAGCGAGAAAAACAACAGCAGCCCAGGCAGCCGCCCTCGCTGTACCACCTCCATGCTGGGTGCTTCCAGACGGATACCCAGCTCCTTCCAGAATTTACTTTCTACAGTTTCTTATTTAACCAGCCAAGCATCACAGCCCAGTACCCTGTACCAATAGAGAGCTATCATTTGCATAACAATTTGTCTATGACCCTCCCCCCCAGCTGCCAGCTCGGGAGGGAGGGCCGACTGGCGGCTTGCACCCACGCCCACATCCTTGGTGCCTACTAGTGCTTGGCATTTAGGCTGAACAAAGGTTTGCTGTTGCCAGGATTACCTCACGATGGTACTCTAAGGTAGAGACTGCTAGTCATTTGCTGATGAAGATACTGAGGCCCACAACTAACACAAAAGTAGCCTGAGATAGCAACTGACTTTGGGTAGGAATGCAAAATCTAAATTCACCAATCACACTCTTCCATTCACCCAGCCATCCAGCCAGAGAAATAGTGGCCAATATTCATAGGAAGGGAGCAAGGGGCCCCAGCAATATCCTGACACCTAGAGGACAGAAAGTCTGGGGAGCCAGAGGATCAGGCCCTTGGAGCAGTGCCCACCCAGTGAATGTTAATGCAAGAGCTCCCCACACAAATGCCCTATTTACAGTTGAATGCTTTCCAGAAAGGAGTGGGTCCTGGGCTAGAGATCAGGGACAGAAAGGAGCTATGAAGATAGTCCAGACAAGTTCGAGAGGGGGTTAGGGGGAGTAAAAGGGGTGGTGCTCTAATGGACAGAGGTGCAGGTGAGGACTAAGTCTGCAGGGCATCATGCAGGGAAAACAGAATGAGGGAAGAAAGCACATCCCCACTAGGCTGCTGGTATCTCTCTTGATAAAGAAACAATGAACAAATACTGTGTGTGTGTGGCAGGGCATTGGAGCAAGCTGAGAATCACATTGCTTGGATTCTGTTTGTACAATCAAACTTACTAATGCCTGTACTGCTCAGCAGTGGACGTGCACCAGCTTCCTTCATCCTCACAGGAGGTGGGATCCTACCTCCAGCCTGCAGGTATGGCAGCTGAGGCTGTGTACCAAGCAGTTTGCACAGTCGCTCTCTGCTCATCAGGTCAAGACCACGGGTTTCAAGCTTTCCAGCTATGCTCTGAATGGTGCCACCCACGCTGTCTTATGCAAGGCTTACTTTCCCTTTTAGCCTCCTGTGCTACCACTACCTCCTTACAACTCCATGAATCCTTGCACACTGACTGTAGATAATCTGGTTTTGTGGTAGTGATTCCAGTAGCACCATGAACCAGGGCTAGCAGCTTCCTAAAAGTAGGGATCCTATATTATGAGTCACAGGATCCCCACTATAAAATAAGCTGTCTTGACAGCTCTGGTATTACAAGTACATGTCACCACACTGCGTTTCCCTTCCTTCCTTCCTTTCTTTTTCTTTCCTTTCCTTTCTTTTTTTCTTTTTCTTTTTTTGAGCCAGGGTTTCTCTGTGTAGCCCTGGCTGTCCTGGAACTCACTCTGTAGACCAGGCTGGCCTCAAACTTACAGAGACCCTGCCTCTGCCTCCTGAGTGCTTTTTTATGTGGGCGCTGAGGATTGAATTCACATCCTCATGCTTGCAAGGCAAGCACTTTTACTGTTTGAGCCATATCCCTAGCTTTTTGTTCACTTCTGAAGCCAGGAAACCAGCTCTAGGGAAAGAACCAGGTTTGAAGTCAGTCCCTAAATAGCTGACTCTACAGGGGTCTCTGAACTCACACTTTTGGAGTCAAGAACTGCAGAAGTACTGAAAGCAGAGGTCAGGGAGATGGCTCAATAGTTAAATGGTGTCTCATTCATCTTCCCACACTCTCCAGAGTCAGCAGGGACAAGAGCACACCATTCTTTCTCAGTGTAAAAATGGGAAAATCGAGGTCCAGAGGGAACAAAGGATTCACACCAGCATATACAATGAGCAGTTGGAGAACTGTGCTAGGCCTTGGCTCACCAGGTTGCTAGTTTGGGGTTCTGGTCAGAGACGTTTTCTCTGTCATTTAGGCTCCAGTCTGTTAAGTGCTCTAACTTTACCCATTTGCATTTTATTTTATTTTATGTTTGTAATGCTTGGGATGTATCCCAGTGGTTTATGAATGCTAGACAAGTATTCTATCACTGAGCCACACCCTCTGTTCGTTGCCCTTGCATTTTCAAATCCTTGGCCCTGCTCAGCCTATGACCCAGGCCTGATGATGTAGTCAAGGGGTGAGGAGGAAGGTCTGCGCTGTTCTCCTCCAAGGCTGCAAATTTTCAGCCTGTGTCAGGTACCTCCAAGGTTCCACAGCCTCTGCCTGAAACCTGACCACACACTCAATGTCACAACTAGGCCCAACAAACACTGCCCTTCCCAATCTGTCTGCAAGTCAGCAGATAGCACTATCAATTTGTTCTGTTAATATGATAGAAGGGAGGATTTGGGGGCTTGATTTTAAAAGTCCTCATTGAGTCAGGCATGTTGTACCATATAATTCCAGCACTCAGAGGGCAGAGGCAGGTGAATCTCTGTGAGTTCAAGACCAGCCTGATCTACATAGTGAGTTTGAGGCCAGCCTAGTCTACATGAAACTGCCTCAAAACAAACAAACAAACAAATACAAAGGTAAGGACCACCAGCTGGAGTTGGTGACCAATGTCTGCAATCCCAGCTCTTGGGAGGCAGAGGAGGGCTGCTATGAGTTCAGGGTCAGCCTGGGCTTCACAGTGAGTCAGCCTAGCTACAGAATGAGATCTTGTCAAACAAAACAAAAAAAAAACAAACAAACAAAAACCCCAAGGCCAAGCTCTTAGAGCCCCTAGAGGACACACCATTACATTTACCAGTGAGGGGTGCCACAGATTCTACATAGCCTCCTCCAGTATCCCTATGAAGCCCCCTGAGAGCTGGAGACTCAGCACAGGCGATACAGCAGCTGATGTTAGAAAGCAGGGCTTGTGGTGGACAGACCATTACTGTCATATGCCCCGCCCACACTGCCACACATACACTCTGTAATTCAGCAGTCCTATTCTACAGACAGAAAGACTAAAGCACAAGGTCACTTGCTCACATTCTAACAACCAAGAAACAGTAATGTGACATGACTTGCCTACAGTTCTCTTTTTAAAGATTTCTGTCACTGATGGTCAGTACAGACGGCAAAAGGGCGCTCAGAATACAAGGCCAAAGTACAATGGTCATTTGTCACCTCAAATTTGCATTTTCCCCAACATTTCAACGATTACAAGTCAACCCGCACCACAAGGAAGCCCCTAACAGGCTCTCTGTTGTTTTCTGCTCCCAGCTGACTTCCTTACAGCCCACTCTGCCTCCTTCATTCTGAGCCACACAGGTTCTTTTAGGACCTTTGAACTTGCTTCTGAACGCTGTGCATAACGGCTTTCTTCCTCACGAATCTCTACTCACATACCAAGCTTCTTAGATACCTTCCCTGACCACTTTCTATAGAGAGATCCCAGTGTCTGTCCCCGCCTCGGTCCTTCCTGCTTTCCCTTTGTCCACGACACCTATTACTATTTTACATGTTGTGCGCTTATTTGCCGAGTAAGACAAGGCACAACGACCCTTCCATCTGACAACCACCTCTTGGTCTATGTATAGCTCCCTGTGCCCATTTTCAATGCTATCTCCATGGTCACGCTAACTCAAAACCTAAAGAGAAGCATTATGTCAGAAACATTCCCAGGCTTTAGGTGCCCCCTCCCCCCGCGCTTAATATTCTCTTACAAGGCACACGCAAACATGGGAAATCTCTGACTCTGGTTAAAGAGCAGACAAATCAAGTTCCACCCAGAGCTGGCCAGACCAGTCAGCTTCATTTTCACCTCAACTATAGGGTTCCCTCGGTCTTCAGCTTTGCAAGCCCACCCGCCCTTTCCCGGCCCCGCTCCCCCCGTTTGCACCTTGCCATCCATTTTGGGAGCTGATCCAGAAACCAAGCCATCCCTAAGCTTTTAAGTAGCATGGCTTGGGGGTTGGAATGAGACCTAAGCTCATCCAACAGGTAGGAGGGGCAGAGGCCGGCCTTCTAAGCCCTACATTGATTTCCCCCACCTTGCACAAACGGGCGTCGTCGTTCTCCTTGTGTAGAGAGCTCAGTTTCCGAGGCAGAATCCTCAGACCTGGGCGGGAGACGACAAAGGCCCTCCCACCCCAGCCGAGATGGGCCCGCAAGGAATCGCAGGGGCTACGCTTAGACCCTGAGGGGGGGGAGGGGCAAGAAGGATGCAGGCACATCTCTTGACTCGGCAACTAGAACATACCCTGAGAAGGGGCGGCCCTCAGCGGGGAGACGGGATGCTTTGCACACTTACAAACCGAGGCTGCGGCCCTGGGGAATCCGCTGCCAGAGAGCCACAGGAGATCGGATTCGGTCCGGGTCCGGGTCGGGGCAGGGAGGGAATGCAGCGGCCAGAGGCCCGGAGACAGAGGCCGTTCTCTTGCCCTTAGGCCGCGGAGGGCCGCTGGCTGCTGGCTCCAGGCCCAGCCCCTCCCCCCACCCCAGATCCTGCTTCGACCGCTTGGAGAGCCTGTGGCTGCTGGTGTGCTGTCAACAAAGCGTCACTTCCGGGCCGCCCCTTAGCAACAGAGGTGGGGTTCCCCGGTCGTGTCCCGCCGCGAATGAGGGCGGCGGCGGCCTAAGGTTCCGGACCCCACGGGCTGCTCCCGCCCGGGCAGAGGCCTGCGTCCCCCAAGTCAGCCTTCAGGGCCCCTTCCAGGGAAGGGCTGGCTCACAGCAGCAGGGTTCTGGACAAGACTGACTCCACCTTCCCTCGTCAGCGCTGACTCACCCGGCGCCCAATCCGAGGTCTTTCGGGCTGTCTCCACGCAGGCACCACATTGCCCCTCAACTTTACTCCTCCCTCTCCTTCAAGAGAAGGCCCACTCACCCAGGAGCTGTCAGATAGCAAGCCCCGAGGCTGTCCTTGGCCCCTGCATTTCCTTCTAGTCACCAATAATGCCTCAGCAATTGCTTCTCCCTTCCTCCAATAGTGCCCTACTTCTGCCCATCATCACTTTAGCTTTCACATTTTTAAAAAATTATTTTTAATTTGTGTATACGTGTGAGTGGAGGTATATGCATGAGACTGTAGCTGCCAGTGGACGCTAAAAACCTCAATCCAGTGGAGTTGAAGTTACAGATGGCCTTAAATCTTCCAGCGTAGGTGCTGGGAACCCAACTATCTCCTGCCTATCCTTCCTTCTTTTCTAAGATAATTTTTAAAAAAATTATTTACATTTGTGCACTCGTGTGTGCATATGTAGGGGACCAGAGGACTGTCTGCTGGAGATGGTTCTATATTTACACCATGTGGGTCCCAGGGATCGAACCCTAGTCCTCAAGCTTGGTGCCAAGCACCCCTACTTGTTGAGTCATCTCACTAGCTCCCATCACTATTTCTTCTCCTAACTTCTACCTTGGCCTCCTAACACAAATCCCCCCATTTCCTCTGCAGCCCCACAATCCAAGAATGGGCTTTCTAGAACATAAATCTCATCAGGGTATCCAAACTCTCTTGATCTCTCTTTACCAGATCACTCAATTTCTTCCTTTGGCTTTCCTGTCCAGACAGCTCACAACTTAAATCAATTTTGACTCTTTTCATTTCTGTCTCTCTCTGTAGTCAAATAATATGTTAACTTAAACATTGTTCTTACTGCCATCCACATCTAGTTCACTGAACTCTCTTGCAATACTTTTTGCTTGAGAAACTCTGTGGGAATTGGGGGGGGGGGTCACAAATCAAGGGCCTGAGTAATTCTACCACTGATCTGTGAGCTTTCTTGCCAAATATATAAGAAAGAATGCATATGCGTTGCGGTGGTGGCACACTCCTTTGATCTCAGCAGTTGGGAGACAAATGCAGGTGGATCTCTGAGTTCGAGGTCAGTCTGGTCTACAGAGTTCCAGAACAGCTAGGGCTACAAAAAGAAACTCTGTCTCAAGGACCCAGCCCCTTAAAAAAGCAAGTTGGGGAGAAAGGGTTTATTGGGCTTACATTTCCACAACATTGTTCATTGATGAAGGAAGTCAGGACAGGAACTCAAACAAGGCAGAAGCCTGGAGGCAGAAATTGATAGAGAAGCTATGGAGGGGTAAAGCTTACTGGCTTGCTTACCTTTCTTTCTTTCTTTCTTTCTTTCTTTTTTTCTTTTCTTTCTTTCTTTTTTTTTTTTTTTTTTTTTTTTTTGGTTGATTTTTGTATTTTGAGACAGGGTTTCCTCTGTGTAGCCCTAGCTGTCCTGGAACTTACTCCGTAGATCAGGCTGGTCTCAAACTCAGAGATCTGCCTGTTTCTTGAGGGATTAAAGACATTCATTCACCACTAAGCTAGGCTTATACATCTGGATTTTATGGGGCCATTTTCTCAGTTGAATTTCCATCCTTTCAGATAACTCTATCTTGTGTCAAGTTAACATAAAACTAGCCAGCACAATGACCATGTGAAATCAAAGATGGTATCAATAATTCCAATACAGGGCAATGACAGAAAGAAGGAAAGAAGGCGAGCAGTGGTGGCCATATCTTTAATCCCAGCACTTGAGGCATAAATAGGCGGATTTCTGAGTTGGAGGCTAACCTGGTCTACAAAGCAAGTTCCAGGACAGCCAGAGCTGTTATAGAGAAACCCTTTTGGGGCTATATATTTAAACCCTATCTAAATAAATAGGTTTTGTAAAATGAATTTTTGTGGACCAGATGTAATGCCACACACCTTTAATCCCAGGACTCCTGAAACAGAAGCAGATAGATCTCTGTAGGCTCAAGGCCACCAAGGCCAGCATGGTCTACTAACAAGTTCCAGGACTGTTATGGTGAGACGAAGAGAGAGAAAGAGAGAGAGAGCACTAGCTGTCTGCTCAGATGTCAGAAGTTGACATTGGATATCTTCATCAATCACCCTACTTTGGAGACAATCTCTCACTGACCCTGGAAGCTCATCAATTTCCATAACTCCAGATTTACATAGGCACTAAGGATCTTAACTCAGGGCTTCACACTTGTTTGGCAGGCACTTTACTCAGTGAGCTACCTCTCTCATCAGCTATGTTACGCATAGCTTGGTTCTGGAAACCTAACGGGGTGGCAAGGAAATGAAGACAGGAAAAACACACTCGGAAAAGCTAGAATTGCTTGAGCTGTACTCACTTTGATGGTGCAGCAACTATGTACAAAACCCTGGAATCTCAGCTCTTCTATTATGTACAGAACAAGGGAAGGGACTAGCTAGTCTGGCAGATCTCTGTAGGACAACTCGACATCCGGGAGGGTCCAGTGTAGGCAGAGTTTCTGTGTCCCAGTAGTCAGACTACTCAGACATTTGTTATTAATTATAAATGCTTGGCTGATAGTTCAGGCTTGTTACTAGCAAACACTTACATTTTAAATTAACCTATATTTCTTATCTACGCTCTGTCATGTAATGTTACATTCTTTCTTTTTTTTTTTTTAGGCACCAGAAATTTTATTTAATCCACCTTCCTTTGTTAACATTCTAGATACTATAAACCAAATTAATCTTTTTGTGACCCAGGCTTGTGATAGGAACCATCAATTACAAAACAGTGACAGACCTTCTTAGCCTATTTGTTTTTTCTGGTCCCTTCCAATTTCTAGCTGTCACTGGTCCTTTCTTGGTGATCTCTTAATCTTTTCTAACCCTGTGAAATAGGGCCCAAAAGTGCCAACTGCAGTTGGTAAACAAGCTCTGAGGAAGACCCCTCCAATTCCAGTGGCTCCTGCCCTGTGGTAGTTTCTTCTCAGGTCCCAGGCTGAGAAACCAAGCACGTGGATCTAACAAAGACCAAGTGAGGGTCTGGATGGTAAGGTGCATGGGCCTGTGACCACCACTGGCCATATCCAGCCTCAGGACTTCCAAGACTCCAGAGCTCATGTACCCTGTGGATGGCTCCCAGGTACCTATATTTTGACTGGAGACTCTCAATTCCCCTCACCACACCTAGAAAAGTATGAAGGACACAAAAGAGACAAAGACAGAGTAACCAGGCCCAGCAGGACGAACACTGGTGAAGCAACTGCAAAGTTGATGACTTGCTCTTGGGAAAGAGAGGTAGGGCCTGGAACAAGGATGGCAGCTGGAAGGTGAAGGGCAATCGTGTCACTCAGTAGCAGTAGTGATCAGGCTTGAAGGGGTCATCAATTGGCATGCCCAGATAGATGGTACCTGCTTTCAACATGGCACATTCATCTTGCTTTTCTCTGTATCTGCACGTCACTCCCCAGACTCTGCCCTCCTTCTTCCCACCTTCCTCTTCGTTTGGCTCTCCTGCATAACCTTTACCTGTCCAGCTATTGGCCAGTCAGCCCTTTATTAACCAATGAGAGTAATACATATTTACAGTGTATAAAGTTTGTTCCACAGAAGTCCAGGTTTTGCACACACTGACAAAATGCTCAAATGAACTGGAGGAAGGCCAGTTCTGAGCCCCATCTATACTGGAAAGGATTTATTCTTTCTGTAGTCTGAGGTATTGGGTCCTTGACAGGACTCCTATCATATCAACAATTCACAGTCATTCAAGGCTTCTTCAGCTCCCCACAACAGCCCCAAAAGAAAAAAGTAATTTAAAACTTTGTGTTGGGCAATGGTGGTACATGTCTTTAATCCTAGCACTTGGGAGGCAGAGGCAGGTGGATCTCAGTGAGTTCAAGGCCAGCCTGGTCTACAAATACAATTCCACAACAGCTAGGACTACACAGAGAAACCCTATCTTGAAAAAAATTTTTTAAAATTATTTTCCTGTGTTTGTGTGTGTGTGTGTGTGTGTGTGCGCGCGCGCGTGTGTGTGTGTGTGTGTGTGTGTGCACACGCGCGCACACACACACACACATGGGCGCACATGCCACAGTTCACTTGTGGAGATCAAAGAATAACTTTCAGGTGTGAATTCTCTCCTTCCACTTTGGAAATAGAGGAACCCAAGTTGTCAGTTTTGGGGCAACAACTGGTTTTACCTAAGCAGCCATCTCACCAGCTCCCCAAGGAGAAAAAAGTTCATGTACAGTAGCAATGAAAAGAATGAAACCTTTAGAGAGATGGCTCAACAGTCAAAAGGAAATGTTCTTACTGAGGGCAGGGCTGGTTGGACTCCCATCACCCACATGGCAGCTCACAACCATATGTAACTGTAGTTTCAAGGGATCCAATGCCCTCTTCTGACTTCCTTGGCACAGGAATGTATGTAATGCACATACATACATGAAAGTAAAACACCATACAAAATAAATAAATAAGAATTAGCCAAAGAAGTGAAAAAACTATACATTGAAAACTACAAAACAGTGCTAAATTAAATTAAAGACAAATAAATGGAAAGATACCTCATGTTAATAGGCAGGAAAGTTTCACACTGTTAGGATGGTAGTATTACCCAAATTGATCTACAGAGTAAGTACAAATTCTTTCAAACTCCTAATAGCAGTTTTAAAAAAACAGCAAAACCCATCAGGCATTGTGGGATGTGTTTGTGATACAAGAACATGGGAGACATGAGTATCAGGAATTCAAGTTATCTTTGGCTTGGAAGTCTCCTGATCTATAGGAGATTCTGCCTCAAAATAACCAAGAAAAAAAGG